TGCTCTGCTCAAATCTTCTGCAACCCCCTGCATCTAGTGGCTTCCCCGCCTTCCTCAGGGTGTAATGCTTAAAATAAAACTACTGGAATCGCTAACAATAAAGGAAAAAACCAACACTCAATAATATAAATTAGGAATAAAACCAAAATGGTTTCAGGAATCAAATATTCCATTTGCAATATATATATATATATATATATATATATATATATATATATTCATTTAAACAAAAATCACACTTGATAATGGTTAATAGATTAACCGAAAGCGGTCGGAACCACGGATTATTTGCTCAGTGTTTTGCAAACTCTATGTTCAGAAAAGAAATCATTTATGAAATACAAAGAAAAATATAATAAAAAGCTTAAATTACGGCGTCAATCGCCTTCAATTAAACCTGTATAAAAAAAGAGATAGCAGCCAAAATACACAATTATAAATTCACACACACACACACACACACACACACACACACACACACACACACATATATATATATATATATATATATATATATATACATATATATACCTTAGAATGGCCCAGTGTTACCGTGCTTGATTCAAAATCGTTATGACTCATACAGCAATCGCTATCACTTGACTTAAAATATTTTTGCCCTTCCTTGCCTTTAAAGGAGTGCCTTTTGCCGTGCTGATGTTGCTACATGCCTTACTTCTTGCCTATCTCACACTGCGATTTTTTCTAAGCTCTATACTAAACATTGAATCTGTTACGAAAAAGAACTAAACAAAATGAACACAAAACGATCAGCTTTTGGAAGGACTCGTAACTGAAAAAAACGAATGAAAAATGAATGTTAACAATATATACTTTTTTTTTACCCAACCCAGTTCTGCAGAATCAGAATCAACATTGAGTTTAAGCAAGCGAATGAGCCATTTGGAGTAAATATCATGCAGATTTAAATTTTTCCAACTTATAAATAATAATAGTAATAACAAAAATGGGTAATATTAAAAAAATAACAAGACCCCTGTAACCGCCACATTGTTGAACAGGCTCTAGCTGGCGTCTTCCTGAACGCTGCATTAAAAACATCGAGATTAAGGTCAATCGTTATCAATGAGTCATATCTTCGTAAACATAATACTTCCTTTTCTTACGTTCATATCACGCACCTTTTTTCAGTAACACTCTACTATGAGTGTCTCTTTGGCCTTGTATTATTGGAACATTTATTAAAATGTGAAAATAAAAAAAAATCGTCGAAAAACAAACTTTCCGAGCAGACCTCGTAAATGCTATCAGATTGATTGAAGGGTATGAACCGAAAGGGTGACATAAATTTTTGTTTTTAAGAACCAAGAATAAAAAAAAAAATAGGTAAACAGATAAAAAAAAAATATATGTATGACTTGCAAAAATGCGTATAGCATCAAAACCTACACGCTTATATCGATCGATCAAAAGATAGACGCGTGTCGGTAGAAATCGCGTGATCGGGAATGAGATAGACGTGAGCAACCTGTGATAAAAGACAGAACATTTTCTAAAGACGCAAAAGCGTAAAGATAAGGATAGGGGAGAAAGCTGATAAGGAGGGAGACATGGAAGAAGAATAAAACAGATAAAGCAACTTTGAATTAGATGTTACATAAGACAGACATGCTTCATGAATTTTCTAAATGAAAAAGGCATTGATAACATTTCTGAATTATATAACATTATTGAAATTTTAGTCAGCAAACAGTGTGACATAAAAAACCTCCCCTCCCTATTTAAAGGGTATCTCCCTAAAAATGTATTCACTTTTTGACATCCTATGACTACTGGATTTTTTTGTTCTTTTTTCCAGGTCCATGCATTTAATTTCATTCAATATTTAATTTAAACCGATAGTATTTATTTGTAAATCAAAAACATTCTTATTTTTTAAATTTTAACCATTACTATGTTTTTTGCAACATAATAGATACCTCTGCTTAATTGCCATTTAAACAGTAAGGGATTATTAATTATATGAACGATATATATATATATATATATATATATATATATATATATATATATATATATATATATATATGTAAATATATGGATATAGATCCGACAGTATCAAGAAAAATATATACGGAAAAAAACAACAAAAATCCTTATATACAATTATGCTGTTTTAATGTTGATATGTCAACGTCGGATGTTTTGGTCTAATAAACCATCTTCAGGACATATGAATGTTATAATTTATGAATATGTCCTGAAGATGGTTTATTAGACCGAAAACGTCCGACGTTGATATATTAACATTAAAACAGTATAAAGGCGTATGGATTTTTGTTCCAGTTTTTCGGATATATTTTGCTTCAATATATATATATATATATATATATATATATATATATATATATGTGTGTGTGTGTGTGTGTGTGTGTGTGTGTGTGTATGTGTGTGATTTAAAAGTTATTATTTAATGGATATTCGTATTTGAAATAGACGCCCTATTTTTACTTTTACGTGAAATAATTTGTATTGTTAATATCGACCTACGTATTCGATAAATCTTAATAAAGGGAACGAACATGCAAGGTGTCAATCCATAGCTTATCCCTCCACCTATGGATAATTAGTAAAAAAAAAAAAATACGTTATGTAGCCTTGTTTGCCAATACACAATAGTCTGTGTGTGTGATTTTAAACGTTATTTGAGTAGACGCCCCATTTATGTATTAAACAGTATATTTATTTTCGTCTACCGGACTAAATGTTAGAGAAGATTTACTAACGAAAATATGGGACCTGCGTCTACTTAAATATAGGCCCCAGCGAAGAATAACGTTTAAAGTTATAAGAACCTGCCGGATTAATAAATAAAATTTCCCTATATATATATATATATATATATATATATATAGTTGTATATTTAGGCAGCAATCCTTCCTTTATGCATGTTTCATTAAAAACGACAGACAAGTTACTACGGTTGAGCTTTTTATTTAATCTTTCTTGTCTTCTGACAAGAGCTTTCTTTTCTGGACAAAGGGTGTGTAAGAACTGTCCGAATGTTCTATAGGAACATACTAGTAGAAAACACAAATATATTAACTGCATCCACTTGCTAAAAAAAGCCTAAAAATAATGGAAGCTCTAATAATAAAAAAGAAAAAGCCAACTCTTAACAATATTAACTATGAACAAAGCCACAATGTGCTAACCGTATTTGGAAATTAAAAACATCACTACCACACACTGAACATACACAGAATGCACACACTCTACTAAGCTGATAATCGAATCATCCTTGATAATGGCTAAAGGTATAGCGGAAAGCGCTCGAAATACAAAACATTCGGACAGTTCTTACACCCTTTGTCCAGAAAAAAGCTCTTGTCAGAACACAAGAAAAATTAAATAAAAGCTCAACCGTGTACCTTGTCTGTCGTTTTTTAATGAAACATGCATATATATATATATATATATATATATATATATATGGATAAGCGTCCGACATTTTTGATTTTTAATTTCGCGCATGCGCTTTGATTGTTTTTGAATTTTTTTACTGCACAGCATAGTAGGGTCAGTTGGGTACCGTCTGCAAGAAAAAGCGAACCATGACACAATTCACTCCGACAGAAATTTGGAAACACCATACTGTACTTCTTGGCTTTCGCACCGGAATTTCCTATACAACCATTTCAGACTGTTTCGGTATCAGTGCAGTGGATTGGGAAAGAGTTAGACGAATCTAATTGTGATTACGAAGGTGTTTGGAGTGATCACTAGTGTTGGCAACGTTATTCCTCCATTCATCTTCCCACAGAACCTCAGACTCAACACGGAGGTCTACATCAAGTGCCTTGAGGAGGTAGTGTTTCCTGGGTCAATAGGGTTTCTGCTGGAAGGCCATTTATCAGGCAACATGACTCTGCACCAGGGCACACAAGAAAAAGAACATAGTCATGGCTGTGAGACAATTTCTGCTACCACATCACCCCTTATATCTGGCCACCTAACTTCCCAGACTGCAACTTTCTTGATTATTATGTGTGAAGCTCATAATAACGAGCGAACAACAAAACTCCTTCTAACACCAAAGATGAACTGAAGGCAAGAATTCTGGTAGCATTCACCAAATTAAACAAGGAGATCGTCCAGAAGAGATGCGAAAGATTCCGAATTCGTCTAGAGGCCGTGGTTGAAGCGAATGGCGATTCTATTGAACGAATCTACTATTTCGTATTTCAAGATATTTTTGTGTAATTTTGCAGTTTCTTGTGTATATATGTACTAGTGAGCAAGTCAAAATGAGCTGACTCATTTTATACTCCACCAATAGAAGGGTTAACCAATCAGAAAGCTCAAAATATTCAATGCGACGTGTATAAAGGCAGCCATTTTTTTTCTCCCAAACTATCCTCACTGCCAACCGGATATCGAAGACTTAAAGAATTACTTAACAGCCGCTACTTTCTCTGAATCATCACTGCCAAACTCTGATATTGAACACATTACGGACTTCACTGGATTCCATATTCAGAGACTACGGCAAACATGGTCAACAATTTTGGTAAATATATCTGTTAAAAGGAGATGTCAGTGTTATTTTACTTTTCGTGTAATTTACACGACAATTTATCCATCGCAGTTGATGTGACAACGAATTTAACTATTTTTCACACAGATATCAATTCTCACTCTGAACCAAAATGATCGTTCAGCAGCAGCTGAATTCAAATTATAGAACGTTAATGCATAGCGAATAGAAAATTGGAAATTACTAAATAATCCACTTTAAAATATTCCTGCTATTCAGTTAATAAGGAATAGTAATGTATTTTAGTTCGGAATTGGAATTCACCTCCAAGAATGAGATTCTTCATAAACAAGTGTGCAAGCTAAAGTATTCTTCCATCCGAGGGGAAAAGAAAAAGATTATATATTTCGAAAATAAAACAAAACTAATTTATTTTACTTCAATCACTCGATCAGTTTCATTTTGTTTATGAAATCGAAAATTCAGATTTGCATTTCAGTGAATGAAACGGCTAGATGATGAACGTCTTGTTTATTTCTTTTATATAGGCTGGGGTGGTGTAAAGTGGTTATAATTAGCCGGAAAACCAATGCCAGTAATTTACGAGATTCTTATCAGACAATAGACGTCGAAAGATAAATTAGAATAATACATATCGGAAAGAAAAATAAATAAATAAACGAATTGTTTTTTAAAAAATGCATTGCAACAGCCCATATTCTATTGGACAATGTCTATAATAGAAAGAGAATGTAATCATATATATATATATATATATATATATATATATATATATATATGTGTGTGTGTGTGTGTGTGTGTGTGTGTGTGTGTTTTCATGGTGAAAACAAATTCCTGAATAATAGTTACCTCGGATAGGCTACAATACTACAAGCATATCACGAAGACTTACTTTGCAATAGAACCTAAAGGGCACAGCCATAGGCATAAAACGAGTAATACTTTCATGGTAATTGCTCCGATGAGCTGCTTTCACTGGTTCCCAGACTCCATGAATTCAAGCGCCCTACGACGCTGGCATCCCGCTCTCACGCTTACACTGTAGAAACTTTTAAATGTAGCCGTCTCTTCAACGCCAATAGCTTCATACCTCGCACCTCTCACCTGTGGAACACCCTTCCTTATTACTGTTTCCCTGAGAGCTATTATCTACAATTATTCAAATGTAATGTCAATCGACATCTCCAGTTACCTTGATCTACCCACTATCCCTCTCCTCATCCTTTCTTCTATCCCTCCTATCTGCTCTCGCTCCAAATCTTCTGCAACCCCCTGCATCCTAGTGGCTTCCTAGTGAATACGACCAAAATGTTTTCGGGAATTAAACATTCCATTTGCAATATATATATATATATATATATATATATATATATATATATATATATATTCAACAAAAATCACACTTGATAATGGTTAATAGATTAATCCCAGAAGCGGTCCGGAACCACGGATTATTTGCTCAGTGTTTGCAAACTCTATGTTCAGAAAAGAAATCATTTGTGCGAATACAAGAAAGCAATAATAAAAGCTTAAATTACGGCGTCAATCACCTTCAATTAAACCTGTATAAAAGAGAGATAGCAGGCAAAATACAAAATTATAAATTCACACACACACACACACACGCGCACACACACACGCGCACACACACACACACACACATGCATACTAGCAGCATGGACTTGTGTTGCCTGTGCTTGATTCAAAAATCGTACGACTCATACTGCAATCGCTATCACTTGACATAAAATATTTTTGCCCTCCCTTGCCTTTAAAGTAGTGCCCTTTGCCGTGCTGATGTTGCTACATGCCTTACTTCTTGCCTATCTCACACTGTGAATTTTTTCGAAGCTCTATACTAAACATGAAATCTGTTACGAAAAAAGAACTAAACAAAATGAACACAAAACGATCAGCTTTAAAAAGGGACTTGTAACTGGAAAAACCGAATGAAAAAATACCTTTTGACACCTGACCCAGTTCTGCGGAATCAGAATAAACGTTGAGTTTAAGCAAGCAAATAAGCCAATTAGAATAAAGTGCCATGCAAATTTAAATTTTTCCCACTTGTGACGAATGCAGCTATCGATTTTTTTTTCATACTAGCATGCTAGTTAACATTCGTGTCAATCAGCTGTTGGCTCTCACTTTATTACTAGAATCTTCCTGCCTATTCATGGCAGCCAGCTATGAGGCTCTCACACTGGCCAGTAGAAAATGGCCGCAACCTACATGAAAACTGCCGTAGAAGCATGAAAAGTCGATTATTTCCACTATCGATGGGAGTTAGGAAATGCAAAGTTGTTCTTGACCTTCCCGCTAACTTGGAGCATGTGCATGTAAATTTTGGTGCAAATCCGTCGACAAATTGCGGCCGTGCATTCGTTACACACACACAAACACATATTGCCTTTTATATATATATATCAAGTTATGACTTAGGTGCTCATGTATTTTTCGAAACATGACTGGCGAGGCATATTTTTTGCGCCATAGGTTGCCATTTCTTTCTGTGGTAGACCAGTTGCCATCCGAATCTATAGAACCCGATCTAAAAAGATGGCTATTCATGCCTTTTACAAGGATATTAGCACATAAGTGAATGTAATGGATTCGACTGGAATTCGAACACGGGTCAGCGATTCCTCAATCCGAACCGCTATCCATTACTCGACCGTAAAATCGGTGGTGCTGTTCAATTTATATTACAATGAATCATTCATCTAATTATGATTTGGTCGCAAACTATATGAGTTGGAAAATGCAAAGTCGGTCTTGGCCTTTCCGCTAAATTGGAGCATGTTGGTCCAAATCCGTCGAAAATTGTGGCCGTGCATTCGTTACACACACACACACACACACACATTCTGTCTTTTATAGATAGAGATTTTCTTCTTGCCAAAATATCATCTTTAGCCTAGATTACTACAGCACAATTTTGGGGCATTTGTTGCAAGAGTTTCTCAAAATAACAGTTTTATAATTGATTCCATTCTTTTTTGTTGAATCTAAGAGCTTTTTTTACATTTCTTTCCACACTTCTGTC